AGATCGACACAAGCACCCAGCTGAGAGCAGAGGGTTCCAGTGGGAGGCTGGGCTGCAGGGACCCCTGCCCCACTCTGCCCCCCAGCAGCAGGGCTGGGCTGGGGATGTGAACTGGGGAGAGCTCCCCCAGCCTGTCCACCACCCTGACAGCACAGGGGAGCAGTCAGGTCCTGCAGCAGCTGGAGACAAGAGTCTGCCTGTTTGTGTGACCAACAGGGCTGGCAGGGGTGGGTGGCAGCCCCAGTGTCCTCCTATATGACACAGAAGGGATGCCCAGCAGGTCCAGGCCAGCAGCTCTGCAGTGCTCAGGAGGATGAGCCTGGCAAGCCCAGGGCTACTCGGGTGTTACCCCCGTGAGCACTCACCTCCACCAGGCTCTCTGCCTGGCCTAAAGCTGCTGCCCTCCTTCCCACCCGTGCCATGCCTGGGGGAGGGCAGGCAGCTGCCACCACTGCTACCAGCACACGGAGCTGCAAGTTCCCCCCCATCTGTCCTCAAGACAAGCAGGACAGAGCACGAGTGCCCAGGGCCACCCTGGAGCCATGCAGGAGCCCAGCCAGGAGGGGCACAGCCATGCAGAGCAGAGCATGCAGCACCGGGGGCACCGAGGGGCTTTACCTGCCACTGATGTCTCCTCAGGCCGTGGCAGCATGGTGGGCAAGAAGGGGGGTGAGCAGAGACACCCGAGTGTGTGCCCAGCTGGAGGGGCTGGTGGCACAGCCAGGGGTGGCCTGGCAGGACCACTGAGGCTGGTGGCACCCTAAGCTCACCCGGGGGGGATGGAGGAATCTCCACCTGCTGGCCCCCCCCTCCAGAGCCACCACTGGCCCAGGGCACACAGCAGCCCCAGCTCTGGGGCACAGGGCAAGTCGCTCCAGTCCCAGGGAGCCCAGCTCAGCCCCAGCAGGAGCCACATCAGTCCCAGCCACAGCGTTTCACCTACACAGAGTGGGGACCCCTGGCAGTCCCACCTCCCTGCAGCCTCCCCAGGCCAGCCAGCCCGAGGCTGCAGGGTCTCCCTACCTGGCTCTCCACCAGCATGGCCATGTCCATGAACATGTCGTGCAGCTCCCGGATGCTGTTCTCCAGTTTGATGATCTCGCTGTGCCGTGTCTCAATCTCATTCAGGGCCTGCTTGGTGATGTTTGAATCCATAATGATCTGCAAAAAGACAGGGCCACTGAGCTCTGTGCTCAGCCCCTCACCATGCCAGGGTTAGGGGCACCAAGAGAGGGCAGGGCAGGAGCCCCTCCAGCCCAGCACCTTGCAGCAAACCCCCACCCTGGAGTCAGGATGCAGCCCCTGCTCAGGGCAGCACCTTCAGGCCAGATCCAAGCACTCAGGTCCCAGCTCCTGCCAAGGCCGAGATCACTCCTACACCTGTGCCACTGAGGCATGACACCTATAAGCCAAGCCCCCGGGGTGAGGGTGCTGGCTCAGCTTCAGCCTGTGCTGGCTCTTACCCCAGAGGAGAAGATGGCCGGGTTGCCGCTCTCCAGCATGTCCTCCAGCTCCTCGCTGGTGGTGGTCCTGCCAGCTGAAAGTGACAAAACACAGGTCAGCCCCCTGTCCCTGTTCCACCACAGGGCTCTTGCTGGCTCCAGGGCCTCTCCAGGAGAGGGGAGGAACAAAGCTTCCAGCCTCCAGGGTGCAGTGGGCAGTTGGAGGGGCTGCCATCACGAGCCCAGCCCTGTGCTCCTTCTGCAGGGACTCGAGCCGCCTGCAGGGCCCAGCTCAGCCAGGGAAGTTTGTCTGTCCCTCCTGGTCAAGCTGCCCATCCCCATGGGGCAGGAAGTGGTGTTAAAGGAGTGGCAGCCACCAGCACCCAGTGTCCTCCTGGCCTTCAGATGGCCCAGGATGGGGCTTGCCAAGATCACCTCTACTCCTGCCCTTCTCCTTTCCATCCCTCCTGGCGGGCGGTGAAGAAGGGCTGCCTGCTGCCCTGCTCCTGTGCTGCAGGGCACAGGGCCAGTCAATGCTGCGGTGGGGCAAAGGATGAGAGAGCAAAGACATCAGATGGATTAACCCTGGGCCAGCCAGCACAGGCTTGGCTGAAGGTCACGGCTAGTCAGGAAGAACTTGCTGCAACACGGAGCCAAAGCACCAGCCCCAGAGGCTGCACCTCACCCACGCTGCCCGGCACAACGCCTGCCAAAGCCAGATCACCACCCTGCAGGAGCTCAGAGGACTTTCCAGGAGTCCACTGCCTTCTGGCTCGTTTTCCTAGTTTGGAAAGGCTGTCATTAGCTCCTCAACAGCTGATGAAACATCAGATGAAAGTGTGGTAGGTGCTTGGTTGATCTGGTGCCCACATCAGCACAGCCAGGAATGGGAATCAAAGGGCTGAGTCAAAGCCAGGTGTCCACAAAGGGGAAGAGCCTGGGGGAAAAGCCCTGCCCTGAAACTTGGCAAAACACTGGAAAATCAAGAGAACTGGAGCTCTGCCTCCCCAGGGAGCTTCAGAGTGTATCTGCTTCTTAATTTGGTGCCTCTGGAAATTAGTTTCCTGGGAAGAAGATGCTCTGCCAATAAAGAAATCAGCAGAGAGCAGCTCAGGGAGCTGCAGCAGTCAGGAAGAACTTGCTGCAACACGGAGCCAAAGCACCAGCCCCAGAGGCTGCACCTCACCCACGCTGCCCGGCACAACGCCTGCCAAAGCCAGATCACCACCCTGCAGGAGCTCAGAGGACTTTCCAGGAGTCCACTGCCTTCTGGCTCGTTTTCCTAGTTTGGAAAGGCTGTCATTAGCTCCTCAACAGCTGATGAAACATCAGATGAAAGTGTGGTAGGTGCTTGGTTGATCTGGTGCCCACATCAGCACAGCCAGGAATGGGAATCAAAGGGCTGAGTCAAAGCCAGGTGTCCACAAAGGGGAAGAGCCTGGGGGAAAAGCCCTGCCCTGAAACTTGGCAAAACACTGGAAAATCAAGAGAACTGGAGCTCTGCCTCCCCAGGGAGCTTCAGAGTGTATCTGCTTCTTAATTTGGTGCCTCTGGAAATTAGTTTCCTGGGAAGAAGATGCTCTGCCAATAAAGAAATCAGCAGAGAGCAGCTCAGGGAGCTGCAGCGTGGAGGGAGAAGCAAACACAGCTCTGAGCTGACCAGGGGAGCAGTGAGAGATGAGGAACAGGTCATGGTGCAGCAGGGCTGTCAGAAGCTCTGGGACAGGCAGAGACATGAAGCCACTCAGGAGACTTCCCACCTCAAGGCCTCTGCAGTCCTTGGACCAGCTGGACAGAGTGACCATTCCCATGGAGCAGCTTCCAGGGGATGGGGCAGGAGAAGCTCCATTGGGAGCACAGGATCCTTGGGAAGCTCCTCTGGGGCCACAGCTCACACCCATCACCCAGCTGCACCGAATGCCACTATGCCCAGCACTTTGTGCCAGACATTCCAGGAACAGGAGGGTTTCCAGCACCTCGGGGCTGCAGGAACCAGTCATGGCTGTGAAACCAGTCAAACCAGTCAAAGGAACTTCCCAAGGCTGGGATGCTGTGTCTGGCTCTGGCTTTCAGCCCGTCAGGAGATACAAATCCATACAACTCCTGGAGGGATGGGAATGCTGCCTGCACATGCTGAGGTGCCCGCAGGGCCAGGCTGGGCATCCCCACCTGGAACAGCTCTGGTGCCCTCAGTGGTGCTGGGATGAGCAGACTCCAGCTATATCACCTGCCCAGCGTGTCACACAGTGCCACTCACCCCCCCAGCCCTCAGGACCTGGCTGCTCAGCAGGGGTGGGGGCTGCAGGGACCACCTCCCTCTGCTGTGCAGGCATCTCCACCCTGTTCTTAGCTCAGATCCTCTGATCACTCCTGAGATGAAAGTGTCACAAGAACCCTAATAAGCTATTCCCAGCTCTGGGGGCTCTGAGACCACCTGGGGCTCCATGGAGGAGCCACTAGGGCTGGAGCAGCCCCTGGACTCTCCCAGCTCCCACATCTGGGTGCACCCACATCTTGCCTCCCAGAACATCACTGAACCTGGTCCCACACTGTGGGGCAGGGGCTGGTTCATTCCCACAGTGAGAAGACAGAGATGCTTTATTTTGGGGTCCTTGTTTCCCACAAAACAAAACTGTTCACAAGACCCAGCAGCCTCTGCACAGCCCCTCTGAGCCTCCAAAGCTGCACACCCACCATGGAAAGCTCCTCCAAGCCTCAAATCCCATTTCCCTGGGAGGAAAATCTAATCAGATTTAAGAAGTTATTTCTCATGATGGACAAAACAGAAAGGACTAAACCGAAGCAGCAGCACCTCCCACTGAGGGAGCACAGAGGGACATGCCTGGGGAGGGCAGCTCCCAGCAGCAGACATGGGGACAATGCTGGGGACAGACACCAAGCACCTGTCCTGCCCAGGACATCCTGTGACCCTCCCTGGCATCTGCAGCCTTGGTGTGTTTGGGAGCAGAGCAAGGAAGAAGCTGGGTGAGGGCAACTTAAGGCTGGGGAAGAGAAGAGGAAGCAGTGGGAGAGGAGAGACCATCTGCTTCATGTACTGGACAGGCAGAGGTGATGGCAAGGGCCACTCAGGCACAACCTCTGGCACCAACAGGCATGGCAGAGCCTGCCCAAAGAGCAAGAGCAAGAGCAGATCCTGGGAGGGCTGTGGGGAGCCCCAGGGCAGTGCCTCTACATGCCCATTTCTTCTGTGACTGTCCCACCTCCAGGGCAAGAAGCAGACAGGGTTTGGGTAGAGAAGCTCACTGGGCACTGGGGAGCATCCCCAGAGCAGCTGAGAGGTCCTTGCTCTCGTGCTTGCAAAACCCAAGTGATTTACTGACTCTGCTGTCAGACTTTGCTCCCGGCACTTTCTATCTTTGGATTCACCAGCTAAAAAATGGGAGCTGAGGGTTTCATGGAGCTTTGTGCAGTCATCACATTCCAGCTGAGCTCTGTTGAAAAGAGCCTGTTCAGGAGGCCCCAGAATAGCAGGGCCTGAAGGTGCTGGCTGGGACCCCCCGGGACAGGTTCCTCTGCCCAGGAAGCCCCCCTGCTGGAACCTCAGCAAGCTGGTTGCTTTTGACAAGCCTTTTTGTGAGAAGAGATTTTCCATTGTCCTGACAGACCCCCAGCTTCTGCAAAGGACTGTGCACACACAGGGCTGTGTCCCCTCCCAGCACAGACCTCATCCTTCTCCTGTTCCACACACCTTCATCCTGAAGGCGAAGTGGGTCCCTCCCCATCACTGATGGAGGCAGCTCCTCTGCACCCAAATTCTGCTCCATGGTGAGTCCTGAGCAGCCTTCTCCTTGCTCCCCACCAAGGCTCTGTCAGGCACTGACAGCCTGTCAGGATGGACAGAGAAGACAAGTATAACCGAATCTATCTGCATAATTTAAGCAGAGAAGCAGAGTCCTCCCAAAACCTGGGAGTAGAAAAACAAGACATTTTCTTGGTTTCCTTTCAATTTCTTTCAGGTCAGACAATTACGGTCCTGGCCAAGTCCTGTCAAACCTTCTCTCTTCGAAGGGAGGCACACGGACATCCTGAATCCCTGCTTGCATTACAAGCCCCCCTGTGGTTGGGTATCACCCCCAGGAGGATGGCAGCTCCAGCCAGGCAGCTGGAGCATCAACACACTCATCACCCTGCCTGGCATCAAACCTCCAGTCTGTCTGGAACCTCCTGTCAGCCTTTCAATCAGCCACTGTGACACCTTTTTATTATTATTGTACATCACAGACTAATTTTAACAGAGGACAGGCCTGCACAGCCCCATCTCCTCCCAGCCCTCCACAGACCCCACCAGCACCCAGACTCCCAGGCACCTACAGCTCATGAAGGACATTCCCACAGGTGTCCCAGGACCCTGCTCTGATTCAAAGATCTTATTATTTATGCTGAGTTGTGAGAGGGAAGAAAAACACTCATTTGTTTGTGAGAAAATAAATCCTGGACTACCTTTCAGACTCTTTCATTCTGAGCACAAAAACCCCACCATGTGTCTCTGACCATGAGACTATTTGCAAAAATCTCTTTGAATCTCTGCATGGCCTGACCTCTCCCTTGCTTGCTCCCTCCCCTGTTCTGGTGGTGGGATGGTTCCTCTTTGCTGGGAGCTGAGCACCTTTCTCCAAAACCAACCAGGTATCACCAACTGCCCAGAATAATCACCAGGACAGCAGGTTTTGTGGACATGTGGACATGACCCAGCTTCCCCTAAGCAATGGGCTCTGGGTGACACACACATCTTAGTGCCACAGTCAGAGGTGTCACCTGGGGCCCACCTTCAGCCAGAAGACACCACTACTGCTGCTGCTGGGTCCTGGGTCCAGGGGCCCTGAGGCTTGTGCTCTTCCCCTGGCACAGGGAACTCCTGGGAGCAGCGAGTGTCCCCACCTCAAGAGCTCCCTTCTCTGGTTTACACTTGGTTCACTTCACCCATGATGAAAAGCACTCAGAGGACAGGCAAGTCAACACATGGAGTAAGGAATTCCTGCTGGCTCCTCTGAATTGGTGTCCTTGCCCATAGCAGGAGGGTTGGAACTAGATGATCTTTAAGGTCCCTTCCAACCCAAACCATCTGTCACTCTCCGACCCTATGAAACTCCCCGCCCTGTGCTCTCTGAGAAACACTGAAGAGCATCTGAGGGGAGTTTCTGTGCTTTGCTGATGCAGTTTGATACTGGAATGGGAGGTGTCCCCATGTGCCTGTCTCCCACCAGGAGCTGTGTCCCAGCTGCCCCCACACACCACTGGGTTTTCAGGGGGTTCTGTGACCAGTGAGGGGCAGTGCAGGATGTGTCCCCCTGATAGTCACAGGATACTCATTAGTAGATTCAATAGAAAAGTAGCCTAATAAAAATTCACTAAAACAATTAATTTGCTGCACTAAGTTAGCTGAACAGGTGACTTTTAAAACAATGTGCTTTGTGAAACTGTCAGTCAATGGTGCCAAGCATCCTGCAGGTTGTGGGAATATCAAGTCTTCTACGACCTGTGGCACCTACAGACAAACTCATGTTGATTCTGACCCACCTGGGCAATGTACCAGCTGGAGACTGGAGACAGGACCAGGATGGGAGACAGGACAAAGACCACAAAGGGCTAGAATCAATAAAGACCCCCCCTAGGAGACCCTCGAGCAGGCATCATTACACAGATAACCAAGTTCAGGAAATGAAATGACTATGGGAAAGAATTCTGGGAACTCATTGACATAAAACTGAATATGCATGTTTTTGGTGTGTATTAGTTGGGGTGTTTTGCCAACTCCTCGGAGCAGCTATGGTGGAGAATTCCCAGTACTGCCCAGTGCTGCAATAAAGAATTCCTGCTCAGAAACAGATGGCTTGTTGTTATTGGGTCTTTATCTGAGAATCCTTACCCAGCCCAGCCCAGCCTCCTACTGTGAGGAGTGTTAGAAAGCAAGGGGGTGTTCTGGTTGGGTTTGGTGGGGTTTTTGGCAGCTGGGGAAGGGCCCCAGGGGGGCTCCTGTAAGAAGCTGAGAAGCTCCCCCTGCTCCAAACCAGCCAAGGAGCCACCAGAGGGACAATGGATGAAGCTCTGCCATGAACATAGGAAAGAACCGATATCACACCTGAGCAGGGAAGCACCTGGGGGAGAGGAGCTGAGCTGGGGAGGCTGAGCAGAGCTGGGGGTTGGTGAGGGAGAAGGGGCAGAAGGTGCC